GTAGAGTTCCGGTAGGCCGATCCCACTACTGAGGCGGATACCGGTACTTATACCGGTGGGCAATGGTCTGGCCTCAATGCTGCGAGGCCAGGCCAGACCCTGAACCGTCCAGATGGACGGTTCAGCCTCAATCGGCGGGCGGCAGCTTCAAGAGCGCCGCCAGGCCCAAACGAAGTGTCGTTTGCCCAAACGAAGTGTCGTTTGGGCCTACCCGATGGGTGATAGTCCAAAATCAGGCCTTTGGGGCCTGTAAACCCCAAAGTTCGGGCCTTTAGGCCCTGGTGTGTCCCTCCGGCCCTAAGTCGGGTCCGGTAGGACCCGTGTGAGTCGAAGATGTAACACATAGGCTATGACGGACTACTGAGGGTCCTGCCCTCCTGTCCAAAGGACAACCAAAAGCAGCTATGGTGCTGCGCTCCTGTCCAAAGGACAACCCAAAGCAGCTATGCCGCTGCTGGCCGGTCCGCCATGCCTGACTCTGCCTCGAGCTTCCYTGGTGCGGCACTACCCCAACTGGGGCCTTCCAGATGCAGCGCCCAACAAGGTGATGAAGACGGTGTCCACCATAGCCAGGTAGGTGCCTCGCCACTCTCCTCCTTAGCCCCCTTCTTCCTCCTCCTCAAGCTGGGCTGCTCGCCATAGCCAGGCTGAGCGCCAGCTGCCCTTCACCTCCAAGCGGCGCTGTATCAGCCAGCGATGTGCTCCAGCAGCATGTCACCAATCCTTGCATACCGCAAATGAGGAGGAGCTACTTGCTCCTCCGAAAGATATAGCGGCCTACTGGCCTCCTGGGCGGTAACTTCCTAGGCCGAGCGGCCTCCCAGCAACCGGTACCTCCTCCCTTTCGGAGGGAAACATCATTGCAGGCTCTGCTATCCTCCGGACAGGCCCTAGACCCGGGCTACTTGGACTGGTACTGGCCTACCTCTAGCCTACCGCTACTGGGCCTCTAAAAATGCCAACTTTTTGTCTTCTTCTGTTCGGCCTCCAGTACCCGGCACTTCTACCACTACTTCAGTGGTACCGGCCTACCTGCTACTCGAGTGTTTTTCCCCTCTGCGCTACTCGAGTGTTTTCCCCCGCTGCAACCCTCAAAGTCACGGCCACAGGTAAGTACCGGCCCTGTGGGGCCTTGCAACCAACAAGTACCTTTGCGGGTCACACACACACTCAACCGACAAGCACTCAGACAGGCATGCAAACCAGCAGGCACGCACACACACACACAGACTTGGAAACCACAGCAGAATGCGGGAATCACAGCAAGGCATTCATTCCAGTGGCAAATCCCAGAAATCAGCAGTGTTCTCAGTCTGTGTTTTGGCGGGTCATTACACACGTATACACATGCGACGGGTGTGGTGTTGAGGCAGGTTGTTGGTATCCCTATGGGAAAAAGCACCAGCCCGCCTCTCGCATGTATTATGTGTGCTTTCGCCGAGTTTTGTTTCCTGAATTCGATCGGGAAGCTGCGACGGCAGGTGTTTGGCCTGAGACTAATGGACGATGTTAGTTTACTCACCAGTACACCAAGAGGAGGACAGGCTGATGTGGACCAAATTAGGATAAGGTTCGAAAGATGTTATCTGGAAAACCTTACACTAGTGAGGACAGACGATGGGACAGGGCGTTGGGACTTCTTGGGCACTAAGATGCACGTAAACGGTCTGCCACCATATGTCAGCTGCTACCAAGTCCTGAAGAATGAGCATATGATCTGGGATCGTGAGGTGTTGGAGTTCAAGAACGGACAAACATATCAATCCTGGGGGATCAGGGAGCAGAAAAGTGTTGTGGTCTGCAGCTACCTACACCAAATTGATATGAATATGAATGCACGGGCCGAAATTCCGATGCGAGTTCTGAACCTGAAACGGGAACTCCGGCTAAAAAGCTTCCCCAGAATCCCCACGCAATTTCTGCAGAGAATTTTGCGAAGCTTTGCGGTGGGTCGTGATTAGATTCGGGCGACCACCTACAATTGGTTGTATCAGTAGGACGACCATTTTCTCATGGCTGCGTGACTGATTTTTGTGAATGTATGGATATGGAGACAAGGTCTCATCCACATGAGGAATGTTTGTTTGGATTTGCGTCTGTTTTTCATTCTGTTTTGGTTTCTGCTTTTCGTGCTTCCTTTCGTGCTTTTGCCCCTGCGTCTGGTCGCGGTCAACGAGTATCAAACCGCTGCCCTGGAGTTTAGAAGGACAGGGTTTCATTGATATAGAGATATAGAGACAGGGTTTCATCGATATAGAGACAGGGTTTCATTGATAATAGGATAGGTTTGGTTGGTTTTGTTCTGTTTTTGATTTTTTGATTTTTTGATTTTTTGATTTTTTTATTTCTTTCTGCTTCTGGTTTCTTGCGTTCTATTGCGGCCTACAAGCTTCGAACCCCTGCCCTGGCATGTAGAGCGACGGGTCTGCTATTTTTGTCATCACCCCCAATTTCCTTGGGCCTCTGGTTATTGTTCACAGCCTACGAGCCTCGAACCCCTGCCCTGGAGCCTAGAGGAATCGGGCCTGCTGACTTGGTTTTGTTGTGATAGTAAGTAGCTTTTCGACGATTGCGGGGACTGGCTGAATGCCGGGACCCAAACGCCTTGGTACTTTGTCGTTTTAGGTGCTTCCAGAAGAGGTAGGACTTTGCGCTTGATGTTTGCGTGGTGTGCTACTACTAGGATAGTTCTATAAGGGTAATGATTGCGCCGATGTTGTTCTTTTTGGGTCCAACGCCATTGGACGCACTATCACTCCAGAGATGGTGGCGGGTCGGACAACGGAGGTGGGAGAGTTGGAGAGTTGGACTTTGTGATGGGACGTAGTGAGGTGGATTCCCCCTGAGGAGGCCGTGTGGCGACGGCCGAAACCGGTCGGGGTGCCTACCCACCGGCAATTTGCAATCAAGTTTTACTCTGTACCTCGTTGTACTTGTGATGACTTAGCTCTGACTTTGTCTTCTTTGGACTTTGTCTGTTTGCTTAGTCTCACACCAATTTCAGTCATAACCATTTCAAAGACTAGCATGGTCCCTGCGCAGGAATGACACGCATAAATCGAGGGGAAAAAAAAAAAAAAAAAAAAAAAAAAAACCTCTTAAAAAAATACCATTTCTTGATTCATGTATGTCATCCTTGAACAGGGGCCATGCTAATCTTCTCTGTATCATTCCAATTTTAACGGATTTCCTGAAGGACATTGAACTAGCTGTTGTAGTATACACTGTACAGGGCACTGCAATTCAAAACATTCAAAACCACCAATCCATCCGAAGCTCAATTGGCGAACCAAAAGTTGCATACTTCCGAGGCTAGAATCTGCAGTGCCGGCCTTTGAAAAAAAACTAAGGTTGCCCCTTCCCACCGAGCCTCTACCGGGCCAGAGCACTCATGATTTTGGCCCGGTAGTCGCTTACGAGATCAATCTTCAGTGCCGTCGGCGGATGGATTTGTGGTTTAATTTTCAACTTACACATGAGTAGCGCCGAGTGTAACACGGTTGTTTCCTGACCATTGCTTTGCTCAAGTTTGCTGACTCGTTCTGTTTTCTCTTCTTGCAGTTGTTCCGCCGGGCTTTTCAAGGGATGGCGTCGACTCGGTACTATGGTATGGTCTCGGAAGAAATGATTTAGAAAGGTATTATGTTCTGCTGGCCGCATTCAAGAGAGTACGCTTTTCATGTCCTGTAATTCCGTGTCTTGGACAGCCGTTTGGTCAGAACATCATCGATAGCCGACTGAGAATGTCCACCGCGTATATGTGTACTTTTTTCGGTGGTCCTTTGGACATGCCAGAGTGCCAGTACCGGTTTCCCAACACCTCAGAGATTGTGACCAACGATTACAGACTTGCCGAAGCTATTGTGGCAACGCACGGTCCCGCAAAAGGGCGTTTCATCGGTGCGCAACAACAGGTATGGAGCACAGCAGTGGGATTTCTGGACTGCTTTTTTTATAGCATCTAAGCTGTTGGTTAGCAATGCTAGCATACTTCATGTCTGCTGCTTCGCTTTTGCCAGCTATTGGCATGCACAACGATTGTCTTTTTTTATTTTTGGCTTTTGGGATTTTCTTCATTTGGAAATTTTTGAACTTCGAAGGAAATTTGTGCACACATTACCATCATCCTACTCCCAACAGATGTGATATACCCCTATTTACAGCTTTCCAGCCATGCACGCTCTACCTCTACCTCGTGCATTGCCTTCTTCCAGCAAGAATGTGATTACACTTTCCGCCTGTCCGAGCGGGCACTGCATCAAACAACTCGCCATCACCAAATGGCAAGTGCCTACGAACCAGCTCTGATACCAAATTGTGAGGAAATAAGAAATGAGAACAGCACTAAACGACATCTCACAGAAGACCGGACCTAATTGATCCAAACTGATCGCAGAAATCCAAGTGAAATGCACACCAAATAGCAACGAGCAATACACCTGCAATAACTCAGCTTGAAAGATGTAATTGTCATGAGCCATAGGTCGTCACTTCGGTCTAAGGGACGAATCAGGGGCCACAGGCCACACCAGAGTCATGGAAAATTGCCTGAACCAAGGCCTGCTGCTGTGGGTGCCCGAAGCATGGCCTAAAACTGGGCTTCAGAGGCCCTACGTGCGACAGTTGACCGTGGAAAGTCAAAGGTCAACAGCACCTCCGAAAATCAGGCTCACGAGTCAAAGTTGACATGGACCCAGCCCAGGCCACCGATCAGACACACACAGTTGGCTGTTTGCAGGTATCTGTCGAGAAGTGGGAATCTGCAACTGTGTGAAATCCAGGCCATTGACTGCGGGTCAATCTGAGCCATTGTAGCCAAGAGACCAGAGGCTGGTCAACGAGAGTCAACACTATATGTTGACCCAGCCCCTGCTGGCCGACATTCAGTCTTGCACTTGGTGCTCGACGCTGGCTGGACGATGGCTTGATATTGGACAACGACGCGAGACTGCTATTGCTATGCGCTGGCGCCATTCTCTGTCTTCGTCGCCAACTCTCCATCAATGGCGAGGAGGAGGAGGATCAGGCCTATGAGATTGGTCGATTGTAGAGAGGAGAGCTTACCTGTTCGTGATCGTGCCGACATTGCGCTCTGTTGTCGTCCTTTTCAGGAGTCTGCGCCGTGTGCGCCATGTGGAAATCTGCTCGATGCCAAAGCTTGTCAGAGGAAACTGTCTGCTGACGTGGCGAGTAGGACATCCCCGAAGGAGGAGTGGGCCTATGAGGGAGATCTATCTGTTGAACTGATGTGTACTTTCTCTTCCACCCTCTCAGTCTAATCTCCCTCTCATCACTCTCTTCTCTGGCTACGTGACATTGGACTCTTGATTACATGTACGATACTGGAGACATTGAAACTGCACTGAGACATTTTGTACTTCGAGATTGCTGAGCTTTCCAACTGACTGGGTTCATTGCAATTTGGTATCGGGGCAATATCCTCCATCCGACGCCGGCTGCTGATAAGCGCTATACTAAGCGGCGGTATTGTAACCGCGCGCTCACTCGTGCGCTCCACGCGCTTTGGCATATCGCATTTGTGAACACACGCGCCCGTGGTTGAATATTGCGGGACTATGCGCTCCTGTTTGGTTCGGGCAACCGACTGTTCTTGTCGCACGCGCATATATATCTGATGATGCCGATGATGATATGGTGATGATGTGGACTTAATATGTGTTGGCAAAATACTATTGACGTGACAACAAGCAACCGACGAGGTTGAAAGAGAGAGCGCTGCTTACCTGGCATCGGGGAATCGCCGCTTACGTGGCATGAAGACCAGGTGCTGGCATGGCACCTAAGACAAAGCAAGAGGTAAAAGGGTCTGGTGTGGCACTTACCTGTGCTGCGACTTACCTGTTGACGTGGCATCTACGATGAAGCAGCAGTACACCAGGTTGACACAGCATCTCAAAGTGACGTTCAAAGTGATCATATACAGACTGGCAGTCTTTGGCTGCTTACGTGGCTCCGAAGTATCTCCATTCACGGCGGCCCATTGGCCATTGATGCTAACGTGGCGCCTCTCTTCATGATGTGTCATTTTGGCTTGCTTGGAGAGTGACACATGGCAGATCCGACACTGCCATCTGCTGAAGACTGGTGGGAACAACTACTTGCACTTGTGTGTCTGCCAGGCGGTACAACACTGGATTATGTTGTAGTGCCACGCGTCAGAACTTGTGTCTTTCCATACAGATATCTGCATGAGGACAGCGGGAAAAAGATGAGCTAACACATTGATTGATTGTTGTGTTGCTGGTTGTTGATAATACTTACGTGTCGTGGGCTGTCTAGTGGATGTTTGGCCGTGGCTGCAGAACCTGTGCACAAACTAGAAGAAAGCATTATCAGAATTAGAATCGGCAGAATTAGTATTCACGAAATTTAGATTTTGTTTCCTACTGAAATTTATTTATTTCATTTCTTGCCGTAGGGATTGCAATCGGATTGAAGTGTGGCCATGGATTAATAATTGTCGTTTAAAGTTTATTGTGCGACAAGCACACACTGGGGAAAATGGCTTACCTCTGGAACTGTTTGGAGGCGTCCATCCTTACTCGATTTTTCATTCCTTTCCTTTTCTCTCCTATCTCGATCACATTCTTTGCTGATGAAGAAGGCCGGGAAGTGCGAACTCGTGGCCAAGTTGAAGGAAGGCGGCAGCAGATGCTGGTCCGTCTTCACCAATTGCTCACTGAACTGCACCACGTTGGGCCAGCTGTTGAGCAGCATGTTCGCAGCCAGGTCGATGTGCGTGCTGCAGAAAACGAACTTTAAGGGCTAAAACTGTTGTTCACATGCTGGAAATCAACGGGAGAGTGCAACAGATAATTGATCGGGGACGAATGGCCCTCGATCAATTTGTGGCTGAGCAATTGGCGAAGGTAGCCGGTGATGTGGCCAAAGAAGAAGACAAAGGAGAAGCAAGTGAGAAGAGGGGTAACCCCTGTTAACAGAAGAGATAATGGATGACACAATCAAACAGTTGCAAGCCGCGTTAGACGCAGAATTGAAGAAGAAGGAAGAATACCAGAGGCAAAGAAGAAAACAAGAGCAATAAGCAAGAAAGGTAAGAGGAAATAAAGCAGAAATTTCACATTTAGGAATTAGAAACTGATCTGGCGTCGGTTTTACAGAACATGATGGCCTACCTAGCACACCTGGAGATAAAGATTGACAACGTCACCGCAGAATTGCAGACGGTGACGAGGCTTGCAAAAGGAACGAACAAGGTTGTGCAAGAAGAGGTAGCTGAGGAGAAGGAAGAAAAGAAAGAGCCTCATAAAAAGTTGATGACAGACGCCATGAAACAAAAAGAACCCGAACCCGCGAAGAAAGAAGCCCGGAAAAAGGAAGAAGGGGAGAAACCAAAAAGAAAAGAAAAAGTTAAAATGAAATTGCCATTTACCTACAACGGTAAAAAAGGAGAACACTTGTTATTGTGGAATGTCAAAATCCAGGCATATTGTGGGACCACTCCGGTAGCGGAGGACAATCAAGTTGCCCTCTCCACCACATGTCTAGGAGAAGTTTTAAAAGAGTGGGTGTTGTCTGAGGCCAATGCCGCTGACTTTCAAGATATCGGTGAGTGGGGGAAAACAATGACCCTGCGGGAATTCCTCCAGAAAATCAAGGAGAGATTCCTTGACAAAACGACGGTCGGCAAGGCCTTTGAAAAACTCACCACGATTAGCCAGAAATGTTGGTCGACTGTCGATGCCTTATCGCGTGAAGTTGATCATATTTTGCAGGTACTTGGACTCAATCTCCAAGACAGCCAGGTTCTGTATATCTATTTGCGCGCACTGCCCGAGCCCATACGCGGACAGCTTGTGGTCGAAGTCTGGAAAGTACAACAATCGGCAGTTCCGTGATCTTGCCCTCTAGAGAGAGCAGATGACAACGCAGTTAAAAGGAACCTACGCGGCCGTTGTAAGGGGTGGCCAAATAAGCGGGTATGGGAATGGGGAAAAAGTCCTGGGGCAGAAGAAGCGTCAGGACCACACTCTTGTTGTCTTTGACGATGAGAATGTTGAGAGATTGCCCCTCGAAGAGGCAGAGGGCGAAGCAAGTGGTAACTGTGAGTTTGGAAAGGGTGATGTCACCGCCATGGTGGCCAACAAGGGTGGCACCAAACGAAACGGTGATTTAGGAAGAGGAGGCCACGCTCCTTTCCTCAGAATCCTGGCATTGCATCTGGCCGGCCTGGCCAGAATGCCTGGCTAGGTGCTGAGCACTTTCCACTTTCCTGTATGGAAAGTGCTAGGAAAGTGCTGCCCTGCATGAGCTGCCTTGGCCTGGCATCCTAGTTGCCAGTAGCTTGACGTCGGCCCAGAGTGTCTGCGCTCAGGCCTGATTCCACGTCGCATCCTGGAAGAGTGTGGAAGGCTCACGAGTTCACGGTCACATAGCAAGCGGGTACCCGGTAACCAACTGACGCCCAGTAACTGTCTGGCACCCTCAGGGCCAAAATTAGGCTGAAGGTCCAAATACAGGCCCGCCTTCACTTAGGGCGGGGAATGTGCTTGCTGGAGGCCTTTCGTCTGCATTTAGGACCTCTGCGAGGGGATTATTCCTCACATTACTTGTTTGAAAAGTCTTTTGATTGATGGGATTGGGTGTCCATTAAAATCGGAGCGATACAGAGAAGATTGGCATGGTCCCTGCAAAAGGATGACATGCATTTAAAAAAACAAAAAAAACAAAAAAAAATTGGATTGATTGATCGGAATTTGATCCATTAGTTGACTAATGCAAGGAAGATGAGTGATAGCGAACTTCAGCAATCAAACAGCATCATACACATAAGACCAGATAGTTGTGACCTCGAACCAACAGCAGAATTGCATCACGAGTTTCACCAAATAAGAACACACCAAGAGCTCATAATTGACAATGCTGAAATAGTCCCATCATCATCATCAACGGAGAACCAATGTTGATACCCTATCTGGCGCTCGGCGCCCAGACTACAGATGGCAGATCCTATCTAGCCTAATCTACAATGCCGAATGATGACGTCAACAGCTTCACCGAAGTACGAGCAGATAGCGGCTAATGCCGAATGCTTCCAGCACCAGGTATGTCTCTCGCTTCACTCACAACCTTGTTCCCCAATGCACAGATGCCACATGCACCCAAGGACCACCCTGCGGCCTCACCCAGCTTACAGCAGCGCAGCTCGGCTATGGTTGCCTGCTCCTTCCTGCTCGCCCGTGAGCGCGTGAGCGCTGGCCAGCTATTAGCGCAGCAGCGCTTGCGCAGCATGCAGCTAGCACCCGAATGCCAAATGCGGAGGCAGGCCCTTTGCTATATGGAAGTGGCCTGCCTGCTTGCTGTCCCAGGCTGCGCTGGGCCTTTCCCAAGAAGCTTCCGGTAGGCCCCGGTAGGCTGAGGCCCAGTCCACACAACTCAGGCCCTGGTCTGTAGTGGTTGCTCACGCCCAACTGTCAACGGCCTGTGTTAGGCCCACATCCCGTATCCAGCCCAGGGCCTGCCTTCGATACATTCAAACAGGCTGCCCAGGGCGTGGGTTCTTCCAACCAACTGGCGCTGCGCAACTGCCTGAATTTCCTTGAGTCGCGTGGTGACCGAAATAGGGGCCCTCGGGCCCTCGTCGTGCCTGCCTTCACTTAGGGCGGCCGATGTGATACTTCGCAGGCCCTGAATGGGGCTCATAGGGGCATAAGCCTCGCACTAACTAACGTTTTGGACAAACTACCGTCTTCACCCGAATAGAACGGCCGGTCATTATAGCTGTATTCGGCACAACTTTCAGCCCAGATACGGCGATAATTACCGGGCGTTCTATTCGGATGAAGACGGTAATGAAACTGACGGGTAGGAGACTTCCGCTGACGACCGTGGGCTTAGCTCAGTCGGAACACACATGAACTGGTGGAATACAGACCCGAGTTCGAATCCAAATCCAACCAGATGACAAGAATAAAATCATTCTGAATTACCTTGGGCCGGTCAATGATGATATCTCAAGGCCTTTTTCCTGTAAATAAAAAAATGAAAAGGATGGGTGGGAGGATTCACTATTGAACATTGTAACTGCAGCCACAGTGGTGAAGACATAATCCGTTGTTGTTGAGGCAAAGATCACCAGTTCAAATCCATGTTGTGCCATGGGTGGATCCAAGGCCAGACTATCAAGCCTCCTACTACCATGTAACTTATCTTGGAATCGTACTTGCATCTGGTGGCTATGTTTATAGAGATGTAGTGTGCTGGGGGGTGGAAGTGTGATATTGGTCTCTGCTGCCTGCAAGATGATCTTGATTGGTGTCGTGAGCGCGAGTGAGCAAGTGATGCAGCTATGCAGGGGTATTGTTGGATGTTGCCTCCTGTACGACTGGGGGTGGAAGTGTGATATTGGTCTCTGCTGCCTGCAAGATGATCSTGATTGGTGTCGTGAGTGTGAGTGAGCAAGTGATGCAGCTATGCAGGGGTATTGTTGTACGTTGCCTCCTGTATGACTCCCACTTTGAACATTTGTACTTGCATTTGGTGGTTGTGTTTACATAACCTTTACAGTTGTGTAGTGTGCTGGGGGGTGAAGTGCGATCATTATGGGTCTCGGTTGCCTGCACGCCACAGCCATTCATTCATTAGTTTATTTACTATTTGCAATCACCCGCACAAATCGGTGTCTAAGATTTCTGCAATTTCTGAGAAAATGCTGTCCTGAGTCTGGGCAAAGAAGAAAGGAAAATCAGGATGTGTGAACTCGTTGTATTTGGCATTTGACTATTCAGTATGCTAACTTCAAAACAGACGATTTCCGTGAAATTACAAGATGTTCGTCGATATTTAAAGGCCACGGAGTGGGAGAGCCTGGAGGAGCTGATAAGAAACCCGAGAAAAGTCGGCTCGACCACTCGAGCCCCGATCCATGTTTCGTGCGCACTTCCAGAAATCCAGGTGTTAAGACTGAATGCAGAAAATAATAAAAAATATGCTCAAACATGCTTTATCGCGCCGAAAATGGAATGGGCCTCAAAGTGGGCCTATATTTCGTTCAAAACCAAAGTGCATGATTTGAGTAATTTACTTATTTGTATCTTTTTGGTATTGGATAAGATAACACCTGTAATCAAAATACAAACTCGAAAGCCAAAAAGTCTGATTCTTTTCAACCAATGGGATTTGTGAATTTGAACTTTTTTCAAGTTTTTGAAGGGTATATGGATTTTCCAAAGGTCAAATCAAATATGATTTGACTCATCCGGAATAGGTTTGATTGTTTTCTGAGAATGCCGAGTCTGAGTCTCTTCTGCTGTGAGTTTGCTGTGTTTTCTAAGTAACTGGCCGTGCTGTGTGGCTTTGCCTTGGACAGTGACAAGGTTGAGATAGGGAGGCAACCAGCGCCAGGACTGGAAGTTAGTGGCAGGACATATTGGGAGTAGTGTAGCTCAGAGGGATATACATAGAAATTGACTCGATAAGTATTTCCCAGCAAGCTGGTTTCGCCTACCGGAAGTAGGGTCCAGTAGCTTACCTGTAAGGTAATGATGGTCCAGAGCCTGAATGTAGGTCGGCAGTAGTCCAGCTTCAGGGTGTGTAGGTAGATTTTATTCTGCAATGATGTTTCCGCCAAAAGGAGCGAACACCCGGTAGCCCTAGTGCACCCGAAATGAGCCGGGCAGAGGGTGGACGTGTCTTGCAAGTGCTTGTGCAAGAGGTACTGGAGGTCGGGCAGCACGGCATATTGGTCAGTGTAATGAGCAGCCCGTTCATGCATCCGGCAGTCATGCTTCTGCTCTGCCAAGAGGGAGAAGGGGCGGAGCTCCCGCAGGATGAGGGTGAGCTGGAGGATGATGAAAAAGACCACCATGGCTATGGAGGTGTAGTAGGGAAGATAGGAGTAAACCTAGGCTATGGAGGCGAGGGAAAAGAACCTCTAAGTAGGCTATGGAGTGTAGTAGAGGTAGGAGGAGGAGCTAGATAGTAGAAACTGGGACGAAGACTCACCTTTGGCTATGGTGGACTTGCATCTTCATCTCCGAGGTTGGTGCTGCATCAGGAAGGCTCCTGAAGGGGTAACGGTAGGTTATGGACCTCATCTGGTAGTGTAGGCTTGGCGGATGTTGTTGGATAGGGCATAGGATCAATGTGTTGTCCTTTGAATGTCTGAGGTGGGCTTGTATGTTCTGCCATAGCCAGATCCCATACCGAGGTAGTAAGGAGGTGCAGGAGCTCAAAGGAGGGCTCTTTACAAGGCTGGCAGTGAGGGAAGTAACCAGATATTGATTCTGGCTCATGCATTCATTGTTGCTGCTTATCATTGTTAATAAGATGATGGTGGAGATGATGAGGATGAGATGAGCGGAGATGACATTAGTTCCAACCTCTTCCTCCTCTTCTTCTTCCTCTTCCTCCTCTTCCTCTTCTTCTTCCTCTTCTTCTTCTTCTTCTTCTTCCTCCTCCTCTTCTTCTTCCTCCTCCTTCTTCCTCCTCCTTCTTCTTCCTCCTTCTTCTTCCTCCTCCTTCTTCCTCTTCTTCTTCTTCTTCTTCTTCTTCTTCTTCTTCTTCTTCTTCGTTGTTGTTGTTGTTGTTGTTGGCATTGAGTTTTGCAATATGAGCTGACCGGGATCATAGATTCTTCTTCTTCTTCGTTGTTGTTGTTGTTGTTGTTGGCATTGAGTTTTGCAATATGAGCTGACCGGGCTCATAGATATTTATTTACAGAAAAGAGACGAGAAATAATGACATGTTGACATGTAAAGTTGTATTTTGTATGTTTCAGGAGATGTTCATTGATGTGATGATAAAGGCAATACGGTCGGTAATGGTGACCAACCGAACCTTCGAGGATAATATCAGATCACGCATGGAAGCATTGGATCCAGCCATAGTGTTGAGCCCGAGCGGCTGCCCAAAAGGCAAGTTTCATCTGTCAATTACTAGGACATGCCTTCCTTTTTCCCTTCGCTATTCGAAACGGATCACACAAACTGAAGGAAGAGGAAGCAGGTTTCAAACTAATCATGGGGAGAAAAGTGCAACATGGATTAGTGTGTATGGTTAAGAGTTAATACATACATAGTCAATACATAAGGGGGACCAAGAGGGACATGGGCTGGACACTTGGAACTGGACTATATAACAAGGTTTGACAAGGTCTGACTGAAAGTAGGCTAAGCTGGACATTAGAGTGGATGCCCCCTGCACCTACTGTCTTCACCCGAATAGAACGCCCGGTCATTATAGCTGTATTTGGCACAACTTTCAGCCCAGATACGGGGATAATTACCGGGCTTTCTATTCGGGTGAAGACGGTAGGTCTCCTAGGGGCCCCCTCTGCGATGCGACTGGGTACTGAGTGTTTCCTGGCTAGCAGAAGGCTCCCCGGAGAGGATCCAGGTTTTGGCCTGCATCCTCTCTAATGGACCCCCGCTTGACAGGTGTCTCGAACCCCAAGGGTAAGGCCTCCTCTTCTCTACACATTGTACGTTTTCATGCTTGCCGGTGATAAGCAACTGGACTGATGCGCCCCGGAGTAGAAGGAGCATGTGTGTTTTTGTTGGGGGGGGGGGGGGGGGACACTAGAGCTGAAGTCTGATTTGGATCACTGTTTTTAGATATGGAGATATCTATTGATGCACAATCCTCTGTTCTTAAGCCCACTCTTCCACAGAAACGATGTGTCAGTTGGGGAAAACAGCAGTCTTTATTGCGTGGCGGCCAGCATGGGTGGGGTTACATTTGCAGATGAGGAGGATATTTTATTATTTTTTCTTTGAATTCAGTGCGGAAAGTAGAACACAAAAAGTCGTTTGGCAGGTTCGCACTGCACAATTTGTCTCTGTCTGTCTGTCTGTCCGTCTGTCTGTTTGTGGGTTTCGGGTATTTTCTTAGTTCATCTGGACAGATGCAGGGTCAGTCTCTGGATTTGCATGCATGGGGTGTAATTTGGAACATGTCCCTGTAAATCTAGGAATGTAGTCTGTGGCGCGGTCAGGAAATAGCCACGAAAAAAAGAAACAGCCCTCTTTCTTCTTCTTATATTCCTTTTCTTTTTCTTTATGCAAGGCAGTTATGCGCACATGCAGCCAACAGTTTATGCACGCACAAAAGTTAGCTTCTCACTTGCCTGCTTCGTGCTAACGTCTTCCTTCCCCCCTCCTTTTGGCAACCTCTTTGTCTTCTCCTTCTCAATTCTTTCATGGATGATTGGTGGCATTCCAGTCGGTTGGATCAAGCTGCGGGGACATTGACAATGGG